AGACTACTAGAGTCATCCCCAGAGCATACTTTGGGAACCAATGAAAATAGTTTGATAAATTTGAATGTGTTTTTACAAAGATGAACCTGTGCTTTATGCAATCCCATTAAATATAAAATCTGTCAAATATATTAAACATTGATGGTGCTGTTCAAAATGAAGATTATAGAAGCATACAGACAGGTATCACTCTTCAAAATAATTCTTTGGCAGCATCATAAAATACATATTTATATTGTATTCACATTCCTGAAACTGATAAGGCCTGTTGGCTTTTTCTCTGTTGTCTTTACCTATAGTTTATGCTCTTTTTCTTATAGGTTCTTATATTTTATTCATTTTTTTTTCATATAATCACTTTGGACTGATCACAACAGCAAAGGTACTTTTGTTTCCACACTGGTATTTGGCAAGGTACAGATTAGTAAAGAGAGCCTTAAGGGATAAAGTTTAGGTTTGTTCACGATTAAACACAATATTTTGTAGCCCTGAAATTGCTCTTAGCTTTGGGGCAAATAGCTTTTTCATGGAAATTTAACTTATTTTGTTTGAAGATTGCCTAGCAGAACCAGATGTAAATGAACTTTTAAAAATTAAACCTCCAATCAGTCGGGCATGGTGTCGCATGCTTGTAATCTCAGCTCCTAAAGAGGTGGAGGCAGGAGGATCCTGAACTGGAGACTAGCTTGAGCATTTTGTGTACACTGTCTGAAAAAAATGGGGGTGAGACGGTGAAGGGAACTGGGTAGGTAGGATGTAGTTGAAGGCCCCAGGTTCAATCCCCAGTAACACACATGCACACACACACACACACACACACACACACACACACAATTAAAGCTCAAATCAAACATAAATTTAATTTTACTTGAAAGAACATGTTTTAAATTAAAAACCCATTTGTCAAAGTTTCGCATAAATTCATGCCAAACACTGGATATCTGCTATTGTATTTTGTTCCAATGTAACTTGTATCCCAGCAGGAGCTGGGGATTTAGCTTAGCGGCAAAGCACCTGCCTGGCAAGTGCAAGGTCGTGAGTTCGGTTCCCGGTACCAGAGAAAAACCAAAAAAAAAAACTTGTATCCCAGCAAACAACAATGTGCAAGCCAGCATCCATACCTACTGCTGTCTCAGCCACAGCTTCATACATATTGTGCCTTAGAATCTCAAGGCCCTATCAGAATGGCAGAGGATTCACTGTACACTTACATTACCCTGCCTCTAAAGTAAGGGTGGAGCCGAGTGTAGTGGCACATGCCTGTAATCCCAGCACTCGCGAGGCTCAGCAGGAGGATGGTTGCGCATTCGAGGTCAGCCTGGGCTGCAAAGTGAGCTCAAGGTCAGCCTGAACTTCAGAGCGAGACCCTGTCTCAACAAGACAAGAAAGAAAGAAAGAAAGAAAGAAAGAAAGAAAGAAAGAAAGAAAGAAAGAAAGAAAGAAAGAAAGGAAAAGAAAGAAAAAGTGACGGAGGAGTCTGGACCTAAGCCTTCCTTTCCAGATCAGAACGTTTTCCAATTCCTTTAAAATAAATATTTATCTCTTGGAGATGTCTCTTTTTATTTTCACAAAACAGACACGCAAAACTGAAAGGTTATTTGCATCTGGGAGGCTGAAAACAAAAGGTCAAAAGGAAAAGAAAGCAAAAACATCCCTAGCACGCTACAGCCCACAGAAGCCCAGGGCCCAAGACCAAGCTGCAGAGTCTGAGGAGAGCGCTGGTCGGTAGGGGCCGCCCCGCTCCCCTGCGCTGCGGCCTCCAGACTGTGGGCGGCGCTGTGGCGAACGAACTCCGACTCGGGCGCGCTCGGCCGCTCTCTCCCTCGGCGGCGGCGAGGCGGAGCGCTAGAGAGCGCAGTGAGGAGGTAAGCCCGGGAGGTGAGCGGCGCCGGTAGGTCTCAGGGGGCGGGGACCCAGCCTGGAGCGGGCAGGGCGGTTTCCTGGCCTTCCTCACTGCCCGGTGCCGCCGACTCCGGGGCGCTGGGCCCGAACGTGCCCCTCCCGGGCCTCGGACCCCGCGCTGCGCGTCGCGGGGAACCCTGGCCCCCAGAGCCACTTCCGGCGCCCGGAGCCCGCCGTTCCGTCGTTTCCCACACGCTTGGGGGGATACGGTTCTCTCATGCTCACGAGATGCCCCTTTCCTTTCGCCACTGCACCGACAGTGAATGCTTTTTCAGTCCTGTCGCCTTCACGTCAGGAACTAAATTGACTGCAGTTTCTCCTGAGGCGTCAAGTGCGCCCCGCCGTGAGTAGGTGCTCAGTGATGCGCGCAGCGCAGGTACCGCGGCGACGAGGGCACGCCAGCTCCTGCAGGCCTCGGCCCTGGGCCGCTGCCCGCACAACCTTTTCCCTGTTTTCAGCTACATTACATTCAGGAGATGCCAAGATACGTTTAAAAATTATATTTTACATTAAAAACAGTAGGACCAGCGTTTTAAACGTAGGCGTTTACAAATGTCATGTTTCTCAAATCTTGTAATAATTTATAAACACAAAGACCTGCTTTCAGTTGAGGAGTATGGTTGGATGAGGTGGTGGAATCGTGAGCTGGAAGTCGGGAGACCTGGCTTATGCCACTCTTCTGGCAGAGACACAGTCCCTGAGTCTAGATGGGTTTAAAGGAGGGGAAAGGCTGGGACTGGGTAGTGAAGGGAACAGTAATCACCATTTTCTGAACATCCACCCTTTATCTTATTTAATCTGCATGTAAGTGCAATAGATAGTATTACCCCTTTTATAAAGGTTGTAACAGAATAATAAATAACACAATTTACAAGAAACAAGGTTGGGATTTGAGGCTGTGCTGGATTCCCTTGAGCCATAAAGTCCTGTAATTCTATCCCAAACCTGTTCGTCTTAATTTAAATTATTTTAAGGTATTCTGTTCCAGACTTCAAGTATTGGTAGTCTGTTATGTGAAACTAAAGTGATAGGTGTATTTAAGTGCTCCTTAAAATATTTTGCCCATTTTATAATTTCCTGAGTCTTTTGAAGGGATTTGATTATGGATACATTTTTTATTTGTTAACATTCTGTGATTTCTGATCGTTTTGTTTTGACTTGTCTCCTATTTTTAAAATGTATATTTAAAAATGGAATTTTTCCCCTCCAAAGTATTTCTTACACTATCTTTATCTTGATCTAATTTTCATGTACAGTATTACCAGTATATGCCAGTTTTATGCTAGTGAATTATTTAATGTCAGTTACTATATACTTTCCGGGTCACCCTACCCCCTGCTAGCAAGAATTTTACTTAAGTAAAGGAAATCATTCTAAAACTATCTGGTACAGCTTCTTATATGGGTGATAGTAATTTTGGAGGTATGAGGGGGCAGTCTCATGCTTTAAGATATTAAATACAGGGAGTAGTGTAAAGGGACACAACTTTGCTTCTTTTTCCCATTGCATATTTTCTTCACAGAAAGGTGGACAGTAGAAAAAGGTAAAGACTCTTTTACCAGAGAAGGGCATATGGAATAAATGTAGCTTAACATGAATCTTTTTCATAGACAAGTATGAAAAATTCTACTTTCTCTATATATACTAATAACATAAAAACATATATATACACACATGTGAAAAATAGGTCCTTAATTATTAGTAAACAAGAAGCAGTCCATGGAAAAATGAAGAAATAATAATAAGGGCACCTGGACAGGTCAGGAGTACCCAATTTATTATTTTGCAAGTGGGTCTGCACATAAATTAATGATCAAACTATATAGGAGCAGTGCAGTGCCATGTTCTCACCATCCCTGCTAACCTGTGTGTATGTATCTTCCTGTGATTCTCTTTTAGCACAATGAAGGAGGTTTTAAAATCCATTTTAAACATCTTTGAAGTGCATATAACTAGAAATGGATCAATGTTATGTGCAAAGAAATAAATGCTACCTGGTGCAGTGGGGGGAAAGTTGGAGAAGGTGACAAAAGTCAAATGACTTTTTCCTTTTCTCATGATTAAGAACCTGATTTACAGAGTATATAGGTGTGTGTGTGTGTGTGTGTGTGTGTTTATATAACAACATTTTAGAGGAGAGTAAAATTTCATATTTGCAGTTCTAATGGAACTGTCCTTGATGTGAACTGTTTTTGTCTTAGATGTAGTTCATTGGGATGTAATGTCAAAATAAGTTACTGCTCTTTGAACTTCTGGTTGTGCAGCTTTTAATAATAGAACTTAAATTAGTTCTACACTTGAAAATAGTCATTTAGCTTTTACTAGTAGATGAAAAGCTTACTTGTTGAAATAAAGATTTGTTTTCCCAAAAGTACTGATGATTTACACATCTTTGAAGAAACAAAGTTTTTTATTTTACATTCTTATTTAACTAGCACTTATTAAATTTCTTTTTTTTTTTAATTTTAAAAATAAAAGGAGGAAAACATTAACGGACAGACAACATTTTACAACATAGCCAAAGAACAGTACAGACAATACAGAGTTACAAACAAAGTGGTAGGGAATTAACTATGGTTGTTGTATTACATATTGATATCTTCAAAGTGTCTTCTCATGAAAACAGATATAGAAATGCAATAATGATCAAGCAAAGACTCACTGACAGTTTCTTTCACTTATTAAATTTCTACTCCATTTACACATGTATCACTCTGTGGTCCAGGCATATGAATAAATACACAAGAACCATTTCTTATGTGAAAACATTTTTTGTTGTTGTTTTTATTTATTATAATTGTATATAACACCCTTTTTGGCTTGAGCAATTATTTTTTATTGAAAAGTATACATAGTTACTAAAGATTCCTCATTTGATAGATGTATAAATATGCAGTTTGGGGAGAACTATTATAACACTTTCGGTGCTTAACTCATAAAAGGAGAAGTGTCAATAAAACTGAACTGTCTTATACCACTTTTAATAAAATTTTACTTTTATGCTTTCCGGAAAGCATCGCAAATAATGGAAATTGTGATGTATTAAACCTTGAAAATATACTTTTGGGTTTGCAGTGTGAGTACCCTTTAATTATCATTTCTAGCCCCATTTAACATAAACAGTACATTATTAAGATGAATGTAGACTTTTAGAAGCTCAGTGTAAATACCACCTTCAGTGCTTATTTCTTTGATTGATTACAGGGGAAATGTAGGATTCCTAAGGAAAAACGAAAAAGGATTTTGCAGCTAAATATAGGTTATTACAGTTCAAGTTACAATTAGTTTTTTTGTAGACATACTGTATTTTTTTATAACATGAATCTCTTCACAGTTGACATCACTGCATCCCTTTAATTTTGAAATACAGGTTGAGCATTCCTAATCTGAAAATGCGAAATTCAAAATATTCCAAAACCTGAAACTTTTTGAGTGCCAGCATGATGCAACAAGTAGAAAATTCCACACTTGACCTCATGTGACAGTTTACAGTTAAGATACAAGTATACAACAGGCAGTTTATTCAGTGTCTCCGAGGGAGGAAGGACCCACCAAGTCACCTTTAGCTGCAAAATATCTTTTCTGCACATGCCCAGATTCTCCCACAGAAGCACACCCTCAAAGAGTAATCGGATGGCATGTGTGAAGGCCCAGCATGTCAAGGTCAGGTTCCTCAAGATGCCCCACATGCGGCCACTGCCTGTGGACGTCCCTCACTGATTTTTTGCTTATTCTTTTCTCTGTGGTATAAAGATATTGCTGAAAATGTCAAACAGAGCTACAGATGTCCATGTGGGCAGCAGAGATAGGAAAAAGAGAAAACACCTATGTTTATCTATAGCACAGAAAGTCAAGCTGTTAGAAAAGCTGGACAGTGGTATAAGTGTGAAACGACTTACTGAAGAGTATGGTGTTGGAATGACCACCATATATGACCTGAAGAAACAGAAGGATAAACTGTTGAAGTTTTATGCTGAAGGTGATGAACCAAAGTTAATGAAAAATAGGAAAACACTGCATAAAGCTAAAAATGAAGATCTTGATCATGTATTGAAAGAGTGGATCTGTTAGCATTGCAGTGACCACATGCCACAAAATGGTATGCTGATCATGAAACAAGCAAAGATCTATCATGATGAATTGAAAATTGAAGTATTTTCAATTCATGATGAATTGAAAATTGAAGTATACTGGAGTATTCAATAGGCTGGCTACAAAAATTTAAGAAAAGACATGGCATTAAATTTTTAAAGATTCATGATAGTAGAGCATCTGTTGATCACAAAGCAACAGAGAAATTCATTGAAAAAATGGATACTGAAAAAGTTTTTAATACCAAGAATCAGGCTCCAGTTGTTCATTCATTGGCCAGTAGTGAAATAGCCAAAATAATTGTGAATCAAGCTGAACGAGGTAATAGTCATTATGAGGATGATGTCAGCACTGTAGAAAAAGTGCCAATTGATGACAAAAAAAGTGAAATTGTGTGATGAGCTTATTGAAGGATTTCAGCAGCAGGCATTCATAATGGAACAAGAAGTCATGTCACTTTATAAAATCAAAGAGAGACTTCTAAGACAAAAACTGTTGCTAATAAGGAAGATGACACTGGAGGAAACATACAAAAAAGACACTCAGCAAAATGTTTCCTCATCCCTTGAGGACCCACTTCCTGTTTCTTCTCACGTAATACAGTAAAAGAAAATAGTGTACAGTGGCCATTTAAATACAACACTACAGGTGTTAATGGAAAACTGCTGCTGTCTAACAGCTGATACAGGAATTGTGGAGATGCTGTTCTGCTACCTGCTCACCCTGAACACATTATTCTTTTTCTTGTATTAATGGTATGTCATATTTTTTACTAACTGCATACATGTGTGAGAAAGTGATTCCTTACTGGAGAATTCTGAATCAAGAATGATGGTGATGCCAGACAAAAATGTTGTGTAAAATTAGCTTCAGGCTTATGTGTATTAGGTATGTGTGAAACATTAATGAATTTCGTGTTTAGACTTGGGTCCTTTTCCCCTAGATATCTTAAATTATATATATATAAAAATATTCCAAAATACAAATAAAATTGAAATACTTCTAGTTCCAATCATTTCAAGTAAGGAATACCCAACTTTAATGAAATTTTATCCCTAAATTTCTGGCACATTTTCATTCACATAAAGTATACACGATAAACTGCTCTGAGAACATTTCTGTCCTGTATAATTTGTGCTCTATGTAATGTGCTTCTCTCATTACCCTGTTTTTCTTCCTTCTGAATACCTTTGACCCATTTTCTACAGGATAGTTTTGTTATAATTATATGCAGCTCTTTTCCAATGATGAAGGGAAAATGTGTTTCTTCCTGGTTAGAATAACTTTAACCTTCCTATATTTGCTTTATTTCAGGCCTTCCTTATAGTTTTAGCTAATGCCTCGATAGGGGTACACTGAGGCTGTGATTCAGTCCTAACAAAATGGATATTTGTTAACTCTTACCTAATATTTCTTATAGATATGGTCTGTTAACAGACTAAAAGGCAGCTTCCACTTTGGTTGCTTCATTTTGCATTTTCTCTTTCCCCACTTTCTAACTCAAATAAAATTTTAATACAAAGGGAAACATCACTCACACCTAACTTTGGCACCCAGTAACTGACATTTGTTACTTAAATTCTAAATACATTTGTGTACACCATCCTGTCATAGTTAAATGGGGAAAAAAGAAACACCAGCAGTTTTTACTAGGGAAAAAAGAAAAGATAGTGGAAGCAAGGGATTACTGCCACAAGGTAGGAGAAACAGAAAAGGCATTTAACATCACTATCCCTACATGATCTACATTTTTGAAAGCTTAAGTCATGGGATAGTTAACTGTGGTGTAAACTTGAATAAGAAATGCTTATTGGCTTGGTATAGCACAGTTCTGACTCTTTCTGGGTGATGGAGACTTACTAAAGAGGAAAGACCCACACTGGGTGTGGGTAGCACTAACCAATAGGCTGGTATGCTGGATGGAATGAAAAGTGAATGTCTCACTTCTGCTTCTTCAGAGGATCTCCAGTCTTGACCGTCACGTTTGGATGTCCGTTTCCAGGCCTCCAGGGCACACTCTTCAGTTTCCTCATATTGTATTACACAGGACTCTGCAGTGAGCTCCAAGTCTTCAACCTCCGACTGGATCCTCCAGCTCTCCAGCACATAAGTGGCCCTTTTACGTTCTTCCACACCTAACTCTGCAGGCAGCCATTGTAAGCCAGTGTTAAAATCCATGTGTGTCTGTGTGTTATATTTATTTTTTTATATCGAATCTTCCTCTAGTGAACCCTACCTGATAGAAGCCAAGGGTGAAGAAAAAGTTTAAAAAGGTTGTGAGCCTAAAACAGAAGTGAATGTGAGATTTTCTTTGTAGCAATTTTGTGTGTTATCAAGAGGTATGTGTGAGAAATGGACATAAAAATGTACCGTTCGTGCTACAGAAAGCATTGGATTTTTGTCAACTTTGGCCATGATAAGTTTCAAACAAGTATAGGCTGACTGAACAAATAACAGCATGTTATGATATTATTTCAGAAGTTGCCTGTAGTAAAGACAGTATGTTCTTAAAAATTTCTAACGTGTATACAAGAGAAATTTTAAAAAGCAATTGCTGATTACAGCTTGAATGTAGTTTAAATGCTGATGGGATAGGTATACTGTACCAATTACCTCATCATGTGCTGCAGAGGTGGACTTGCAAAGAAAGTAGATGGATGGTTGGTTCTATTCTGCTGTGATGCATTTTGGTCCATTCATCACTGGCGAGTCAGCTAACCCCCAGTGCTTCAAAGTGTTCGTTTCCTTGTGAGATTACCGACCAACCCAGCACACATGTCTAAATAATGATGGATTTATTAATGAAAGGTGCAAAATGAAGTGTCATCTTTCTGATAAGACAGTTGCTTTACCCACAGCATGTTCCCACATTTGGATCATGTATGTGTTGAATTTCTCCAGTTAGATTGCAGTCATTCTGCAATCTTCAGATCAGGGTATATAATTCACACAGGGAATGTTCACTACTGAAACCAGTTGCAGGAACTACTTCCTAAATGAAGGAGAGAAAAGCAAACAAGGTCCCTGTGAAGCAAGCTCCTGATGTGATTTGAGACACAGTGGTCTATAAAATCATCTACAGTAGTGAAATCTTGGCAGACAGCAAGCATAATTCCTGTGGAATTCTGTGAGGTACAGCTGGAAAAGGGCTGCAACTCAAGGTGGTATTTGAACCAATTTAGCATTCAATTGTTACTGTCACTGGTGTCCCAAACCAGTTCAATTTGAGGACGTGGCTGCAGGTAGCAATTTATTTTCCAAGAGTTAGTGTATCCTGAAATGGCTACAGGTGTACTCACAGATGTGAAATTGGAACCAGAAAGCCATGGTGGTGATGATGAAGACAATGGCAATGATAACCATAACATGCATGGGGCACAAGTGGTCGAACAGACAACAGCAAACATCTCTCAAAGCCTTTCCAACTCTAGAAAGTAGAAACTCCCTTCCCTTTCAGGCAGGTGTTCCTTATGAGGTACCCAAGTAAATAGCGTAGCTGTGATCAGTGCAACACAGTGTTTTGAAAAGCTGAGTTCTTAATTTTCTTCATAACTCTAAAGTTACAAAAATAGCTACTTTGAAAGTCTGTTAAATGGAAGACTTGGTGAAAAAAAACAGACTTGGTGAATAAAGCATATTTGTACAAACAAAGCATCACGTTTAATGAATGTTTGACTCATTTCATAATATTTATTGTACAGAAAGTTGCAATATTTCCCCAAGGAGTTTTATTACATTATTAGTTTTAGGCTTTGGATGATTTGTTTTCCCTCCTCCCAGCATCCATCTCCAACCAGGATAGAGGCAGGAATGCTACTTGGAAGAGTATTGTCAAATTGTTGATAATCCAATTAGGAGAAAGAAGACAAAGACACATTGGATTTAATAAGTTAGGTTTAGAATAACTAAGAAAAAATAATTTTAGGTTAAGGAAATAGCAGAACTTGTCCTTCCTAGAAAGTTGCTGATAAGCAAAGGAGCGAGCTGAGTAGAAATACTTGCTTCTTCTTGGGATGGTAAGTGCTTGGTTGACCAGTTAGAGAAGGACGAGGGAAAAGTGGGATAGGGATAAAGCTATAGAAGCAGATACTAAGCAGAGGAGTGGTAAAACTTGCCTTGGGGTTCTGTAGAAGAGCTGTTAGAAACTGAGGAAAAATAAAAATGGCAGGAAATAAAGGAGCGGATTGCCCACAGGCCTCTTTTACCCGTAGCTCTTTCTTTGTATAACAGGTTATAATGTAATTCAGACCAATAAACCATTCTCTGGACTTCTGCCTGTCTCACTGGTTTAAGAGATGAAAAATAAAACAACAATTTTACCAAACAAAAAGTACCACTTACAAAGTATGCATTATACAAAATAAAAATTGACAGTCACTTAGGGTGCATGTCTAGAATTTAAAAGCAGAATGAGTGTAGGAATGATTTTTGTAAAAGTTTATCAAAGAAGCAATTATGAAAGAAATACATTGTTTTATTTTTAGGTACTAAATCATCATTAGTCAAGATGTCTTCAGCACCTGAGCCTCCAACAGTTAAACAAGAACCACCCAAAGAAAAAGACTTTCGAAACCCAGGACTGAGAGGGATGCGCACAACGACTTTATTTCGAGCTATAAATCCAGAGCTCTTCATTAAACCTGTAAGAATTATATCCAGGATAAGACTTTATATTTAATCAGGCTACTAGAATTCTTATTTCCCAGCAGCATTTGATTTTATCATAGATATTTTCTGTTGACCGCTTTGTGAATAAAACCAAATCCAGGGAAATTTTTAAATGCTGTTTCACATATAAGTACACAGGAACTATTTGGAAGGATTTTGGGAATTATGATGGAAAATGGTTGTATTATAATAGAGCAACTTCTCTAACATACTAGTTTAACTTGCATTAATTTGAAGGCAATTTTTATTATGTGGTCAAGTACTACTATGTAAAAATAAGGCCTTCCATTGAAATGAAGAAACCAAAACAACAGTCTGATAATTTTAGCAACTACAGTGCCAGCCTTTACTAGCTGTCATTATCTGTCTAATAATTGTGGACATTTATGAAAAATTCCAAAACATAGATTCATATACTGCTATAGAGCTAGCTAATCATTTAGATTCTTGTTACAAATTAGTGACTATATTTGATTTTTTTTTTTTTTTTTTGATACCAGGAATCAAACTCAGGACCTTGTGTTTACAGGCAGGTGCTTGTGCTGCTGAGCTATATCCCCAATCCTTCATTTGATTTCATTTTATGAATTAGTGACTATATTTTTCAATAAATGTAAGAGAAATCAAATTATTAAATATTTGAGTATATTGACATCAGAATTTTAATAACATAGTTGCTAGTGTAAACTATTTTAAAGTAGGTCAGTATGAATCATCAAACCAAGGGAGAGTGTTTTAAGAACTTTGAACTAATGTCTTCTTTCAAATCAAACACATTTCACAAATTGAAAATTAAACTGCCCTGAGTTCAACACTTTTCTTAGATATTCTTCCAACTAAAAAAGATTAACCCTTATTGTTTTGCAGTTAAGACTTAAAATAGTACTGTAATATCCCCCATCTACATTTTTGCTTTACTGTTTCAATTACCTACTGTCAACCATGGTTTGAAAATATGGACACTTACTTTGAAGAGAGAGACTATATTTACATAACTTTGCTTATGGTATATTGATGTGATTCTTTTATTTCATTGTTACTCTCACTGTGTCTCATATATAAATGAAATTATTATAGATGTGTGTGTATAGAAAATATACAGCTTATGCTGTGTAGGGTTTGGTACTGCCTATGATTTCAAGCATCCACTGGGGGTCTTGGAAGATATGCTCTGTGGGTAAGTTAGGGGGACTACTGTTGTATAACAGGTATGGAGAAAGAAGCAGGAAGTACTATCTATTACTACCGTGCATCACTAACCTAAAGAAAGGCCAGTTTGTGGAGTACAGAACAGGTGGAAAGTGGGAGCCGCATCACAGGTTCAGGAATCCCTATAATGGACAGAACAATTCTCTGGAAGCTTTCCTATTTTTTAACACCCCCACACACACAAAGTTCAAGACTACATCACTCTGCTTCCTAGGATCTTGGATTTCCTAGCAGTACATCAGTGTTTTTATGGCAGCTTAATGTCTATTCTAATCACTAAGTTTCTTGAGGTAATATAGTAGGTTTCAAGAAAGGAGTGTATATATGTCATTACTGCTGTGCCTAACATACCTATGTTAGGCTTTTTGACACATACCCATGTCTTGGACAGCAAAAGTAGTACGTCTGTTTTTTTTTTTTACTTCCTAATAAAATACATTAATTTGAGATTTGGGCCCAGAAAAGTTAAGCACCTTCTCCACATCACATAGATACCATTGAAGATTGAGTACCAGACCAGTGTCTGTGCCTCATTCCTCCCTGAGCAGTCACCTTGTTGAGGTTGAAGGTGTTAAATATCCAGGCTGTAGAGAGGAAAAAGGCTGAAGAGGAGATGCAAGAGCTTTCTATAGTCTGTAAGTGATTAGGAGCTGAGCTCATTGAATAAAGAACAGAATAAATGACTGAAGTATTGGCATGGGAATGCTAGTGTAATAATGATATGGCATGCCAAGAGGAAAGTGTAGTAGATATTTGAATCTCCTCCAGTTATTAGTTTAATGAGTCTTGATAATTTTTTTTCTTTGACAGAACAAACCTGTAATGGCTTTCGGGTTGATATCCCTTTCACTTTGTGTGGCTTACATTGCTTATCTACATGCAACACAAGAGAATAAAAAGGACCTCTATGAAGCTGTTGATAGTGAGGGACAAAGTTCTATGCGGAGGAAAACATCTAAATGGGATTGAACTGCTACTTACTACAGGTGGACCTTTCTTAAGAACTCTGAAATCTTCAAATGAAAGGCTTTGTGAGTGCATAGTATCATATTTCTTGTTCAATAACACATTAACAAGGAGAGAAGATAGCAATTTCAACCACATCACGTAGTAAATTTTGTCACTTTACAGCTGTAGCTGTTAAACTCATTATTTTTCCACAAAAAGAGCCTCTCTCTTTCTCTTTTATTAAATCGTTTTATGCCTGGAGGATGGAAGTCATTCTTTTGTTATTAAATTCAGTATAACAAAAGTACTCAGTGCTGTTAAATTTGCATGAGTTTTTTTTTTTTTTCAAACATTTTAAGGTAAATTGTGCCTTTGCAACTACTGTAAGAGTTTAGTGTTATTTGCAAAGAAATATGTATTTTCTACCTGGCATTAAAAACCTGTGTTTGTAAAGAAAGGGAAATGATAATTTTAAAGCTCGAGTCAATATTAAGATATGAGAAATGAAAACTTCATTGGCTGTAACAGTTCTTATATAGCTTATCGCCGCAGAGAGTTCAGGCAGTTTGGTTTCTATTTCAGCTGTTTTTGGTTCCGAATTTTAATTGAGAAAATACCCCCTCACTTACTAAAATCATGATTAAACAAGAAAATAAAAAATATTTAAGTGTACTATACTGAGGTGTGGTATTTTTGAGTACAACTAAATGTTACTTATTTTAATTTTTGTAAATGAACGTTACAAAGTGTTCTTATGGTTAAAAACTAGAACTAATCATAGATAAGAAATAAGGTCTCCTTACCGTACTGGGTTTATCTAATATAATTTAAATCTTTCTGACAGGGTTGTAGACCTGTTTCATTTCTAGGTACATGCATTTAACCCATTCAAATCACTGTAATTGACAATCGACAGTAGACAGTAAATGACAATCAACAGTAAATCTCATCTCTGAAATCTTGTTTCATTTATTATTACCAAGTGGTAATAATAGCGCAGGCAGAGCTTATCATCATAATGTTAATTACAACTTTTAGTACCTTATTGTGGTTTTGCAGGGTACATGAACATAGAATTATGTCTGATTTATAGATATTAAAGAGCTTAACTAAGTTTATATATGTGGTTCTAAATTAAATCTTTACTACTGAGCCTTAAATGTTTCTTTGCCATACCTCTCCATGTAGTATTCTACTTGTACTTTAAAATGCATTTACAGGGTTTTAAAAAAAGCCTGTTAATTTAAATATCTTTTGCCTTTGGTTTCCCTGTGTATTTTTGTTGTCGAAGATGTAGGGTTCTTTTGCTTTTACCTGTGTTAGAATTCTTTTACTAGTCAACAAAAGAAGTTGATATTCAGTGTCATGTCAAAGGAGATATTAGTTGGGTCTATCAAGAGAAACTCCAGCACACATCCTTAAGCTACTTAACATCTGTGTTTAGGAGCAAAGATGACTATAGATACAGTCAAACATGGAACTGTGAAGACCAATGTGAGGGAGAAATCACACTGAATTTTAGGAACAAGTATCTAATTATAATCTTCTCTTTAGGGTGGTCAGAGGTTGTAACACAGTTTTTATGTATGCAGAGGGTCAAAGGATTTTGAGGTATGTATGGGTGTTTTCATCTTCTCTGTTGAATGAGGGCATAACAGAAAAAGTAAAATGCTCTTTGAAATAATCATAGGATTTCAGACATTAGACTTCAACTGGTCTAGTCCTGTCTGTTTTCAATCAAAAAAACAAGCTGACATGAGAAAATGTTCAACCTCATTAGTCATTTGACAAATGCAAATTAAAACAACACTAAAGTTCCATCTCACTCCAGAAAGAATGGCTATCATCAAGAAATCAACCAATAACAAATGTTGGAGAGGCTGTGGGGAGAAAGGAACCCTACTCCACTGCTGGTGGGAGTGTAGATTGGTGAAACCACTGTGGAAATCAATTTGGAGATTCCTCACAAAACTAGGATTGGAAGTCCCATTTAACCTACCTATTCCCCTTCTGGGTATTTTCCCAGAAGAATTAAAGACATCATACCACAGCGATATATGTGTACCCATGTTTATAGCAGCACAATTTGTTATAGCTAACTCTTGGAAACAACCTAGAAGCCTATCCACTGAGGAATGGACAAAAAAAGATGTGGTATTTTTATACAATGGAGTATTACTCAGCTATTAAAAAACATAAACTGGAAGCTTTTGTAGTTAAATGGATGCAACTAGAGACAATACTCATAAGTGAAATAAATTGGCCCCACATGTGTAAGCAGCATATTGTCTCTTTGGTGTAGGAAAGTGAAAGACTAGGTAAAACTCAAAATGTACAATAGATGATAGGAAAGGGAAAGAAATTGCTCAAAGGAAGGAATGACTGGGATGAGGGAAAGGAGAAAAAAGAAAGAAGGAAAGCAAAACATAAATATATATATGAATAGCTGCAATGACTGTATTGCTGTTGTCTGATGGTGTACTGAAATGAACAGTTAATGCTCACAATTTTTTGTGTTCTGATTGACTTTGCATGCATGTGTCTGATGGTCTGAGCAAATGATTTGAAGGTAACAGTATGCAATGGAATTACAATGGTGTACTACCATCTTGTCTAGTGAAACTCTGTATTATCTCTAATGTTTTATGGAAGAATTAGTTTCTTATTCTCTTTAATGGTTTGAGCAATCTGTCATTCTTACATCTGGTAACCTGAGCAATGTAGTTGAGGATAGTGACATGCACTGTAACAACCACTGTTGATTTGTATTATTTTGTCTTGAGACCCTGTATCACTTTGAAAGTTCTTGCTTTGATT